TTTTAATACAATTGACACTAAGATGCACATGCATTTCTAATCTCTATATATCTGATTATTACTAGTCACATGCTTCTTCTAAGTATGTGGTTATTAAATAAATAATTTTTAAAAATTAAAAAAGATTGAGACCATAGAAATGAATACTATTTAATAGAATCGACAAAGGATTTTAAACATTTTCATTTCTAAAAAATCCTGGTGTTCTGCTAATCAACATAAGAGTTCTGTACCATAACTTAATTGGCAGTGACTTTCTGTCTTGCATAATAAAGTTATGTGCATTTTACAATCAACAGCACTTTGAATTGAATGAGATATGCTACAAAATGTAAAAACTCTATTTTTAATGAATTACTTCATGAAATTAGACTTGTATTAGCAACCTAAGTCTCTAATTACTGGCTTGACAGATAGTTGTCAGTGGCACTGTTAGCAAATAGGATTTTTTCCCCTCTCATATCTCATGCAAAGTTCAAGGGTTTGCAGTTTGAGGCAGGGAGGACAGAATATTTATTTTATTAATAAACGTTTAATTTTAACATTTATTAAAGATACTTATTTTACAGTAAAAAAATAACAGAAGCATAAACCAGTAGAAAAGAGAGCACAGTGTTTAAACCCAGACTTTCATAGCCAGTTGTCGCTCAATAGAGACAGCAAGATCTTACTCTGGAGAAAGTACTGTCCTTTTCATACACGGTTCTGAGGAAGGTAGATATCTATATGCACAGGAAATAAACCAGATGCTGATCTCTTACTGTGTCAAAGATCAATGGAAAATGGATCAAAGACTTAAATGTAATCCACAAAAGTCTGAAACTCCTTGAAGAAGATATAAGGAAAACACTTGGACATTGGTCTGAACAAAGATCTCTTTGGACATGATCCAAAAAGCGTAGGTAACAAAAGCAAAAGTAAACATGGGTTTTTACTGATCTCAAAGTGTTTTGGCAAAGCAAAGACAACCAACACAATGAAGTAGCAACCATAGGACAGGAGATCATACATGTAACTCATTCATCATAAAAAGGACTAATTTTCAGAATGTTTAAGGAACGTGTCAGTTTCGTGAAACAACCACCATCACAACAAATAATCAAAGTTAAAAAAAATGTGCCAATGACTTGAACAGCTATTTTTCAAGAAAGGATGTATAATGATCAAGAGGTATAAGTCAAAATGCTTAACATAACAAATATTCAGTAACATGCATTAAAGCCACAATGAGATATCAAAAAGATAAAGATGTAACGATGGGAGAGACAGGAGAGTAGGCAAGAGGGAGAGAGTGAAGTCACAGAAGAGAGATGGAGTGTCAAGGATGCAAAGAAATGAGAACTCTCATGGAAGGTTGGTGGGAATTTAAACTATCATGGACCTAGGGAAGACAAGATGTAATTCCTTAAATAAACTGAATACAGAACTACCATAAAATTCAGCTAATGGGTGTATATCCAACGAACGGAAAACAGTCGTTAGAGTCGGCACTCCAATGTTTATGGTAGCAGTATTCATAATAGCTAAGATATTTAATCAGCCTAGGTGTCCACCAATAGATAAATGAATAAAAATATTCTATATATACAGATAAATATTCTCCAGTTATAAAAGTAATGGAATCATGTCATTTGTAGTAACATGGATGGAGCTGGAGGACATGTCAACTGAATCAAGTTGGTAAAGGACAAATAGTTCATGTTCTTACTGAGATGTGGAAACTAAAATGTTGATCTCAAGGAAGTAGAGAACTGAATAGTTGTTACTAGAGTCTGGGAAGGGTATTTTGAATCTTTTGTGTACAAAGGAATGGTGTATATCTGAGATACTAAGACAGTGATTAGCCGACTGGGGATGTAGCTCAGTTATCAGAGTGTTGCCTAGCATACATGATGCCCTGGGTTGGATACCCAGCACCACATTAATAGGACATGGCAACACATATCTATCATTCCAATACTTGGGAGGTAGAAGCAGGAGGATCAGAAGTTCAAGGTCATCCTCAGAAACAGAGGGAGTTTGAGGCCAGGCTGGGATACATGGGACCCTGTTTCAAAACAAAAACAAAAACACACCAATTATTCTGATTTGATTATTATATATTGGGTACATGAATTGTCACAATGTACCACATAAATCCATACAATTTTCGTGTCAAAATTAAAAATGTATTTGAAATATGTGATAAGATACACAGTATCTGAGATAAAAGTGAAACTTTCCTCAACCTACTCCATCTCTCTGAGATGGAGTATACACACAATTTTTGTTTGAGAGTATACACACAATTTTTCTACCATTTCTATTAATGAAATTTACTGTTGTTGACATTATCCCATAAGGGACTCTTGGTTTGGTTTACTATCATTATTATTAGTGTGTTTATGTGACTTGATCAGTAAAAGCAACCTTATGAGATCACATCTAAAAATCTGTTCTACATATCCCTAACAATCCAAACCTAAGAACCCATGAATTTGACTAGCAATTCATTTATTTATTTATTTATTTATTTATTTATTTATTTATTTATTGAGACATGTTCTTATGAATGCAGCTCCAAGCTGGCCTGGTACTCCCTATGTTGACCATCCTCCCAAGTGCTGGGATGAAAGGCCTGTGCCACCATGCCCAGCTATTATTACTCCAATCTTCTGTTTTCTCCCTTCATGTATTAATGCATTTCACAAATATATGTTGGTAAATGTACAACTGAGCTGGATAAATAGTGAAGCAGACACAGGTTTTTCTGCCCTTAAAGAGCTAGCAATCTTAGTTGGGGGTGATAAACAAGTAAAATAGCTACAGATTGTGATTACAGCTAGGTGGGAAAATCAATTGTGGTTGATTAAAAGGTAAGGGGGGAGGCATTGTTCTGAGGCCAGCTCTGAAAACTACAGAGGCAGCATTCAAGGCTATTGTAAAAAGATTTCAGTATAAACATGCAATGAATGCTCATTGATTGCTCTTTCAACCACCATTTTATAGTACCAAAGTTTAAAATCCCTTCACAGTGACTGGAACATCATAATTGCTCAGTGATTACAAACTGGCAGATACATTTTGATTGTGTAAGTTTGATTTTTACTACTTTTGTCATATCTCCTGGGCAATCATTTCAGTAGTTTGCCTTTAGACTGATGGATTTTTAGTTCCTTATGTGTTGGACTAAGTAGTTGTATTACATGTGAACATATTTTCCCTGCATCTCAAGTTACTCTTTTAGTTTAAAGGCATCTTTTTATGTGTGCTTTTGAAGTCTGGGCTAAACAACCTTTTAGGGTTGTCATTTTGGGTTCTTCAATTCTTGTGGCGATTTCCTTGCACATGTAAAGCTCTCTGTTCCCATGCCTGAGCCCAGCAGACTTTAACAGCATGCAGGTGGTTAAGGTCTGTGTCCATAGGTCGAGGATTAGCAGGTGAGGACACTTTTGGACTTTCTTGAAGACAGGTTTGCTTAGCAACAGAAAAGGCCGCGCAGCTGGAGTGCTGATTCATCTGGAAGGATTTCCTAGAAGTGTTTCCAAAGGAAGCATCTTCTGACCGTTTCCAGAGCGCTGGAAGGCGGGAGAGCGAGAGGGCAAGTGCACTAGAAGGCTGGGCAAGCTTCCAGCGGCCTCCTGGAGGCACCGAGCACCCAGAGGGGGAGGGGGAGCGCCGGGCCTCGGGTGGGCGGGTCCGGAAGGGGCGGGGCTGCAGGCGCCGGGCACCTCCTTCCGCGAGCGCCGCGCGTCCCAGGCCCCTCAGTCGAGCACCGAGTGACCTATCCGTGCCGCCGCAGCCGGCGCTCTCCTGGTTCCTGGCTCCTCCCGCCGTGGTGTAGGTGCGCCTGCAGCGGGCAGGGGCCGTGGGAGGGGCGGGAGCTCGGGAGCGCTGGAGCGTAGGGAGGGAAGGGAGGGAAAGGAGGGAAGGGAGGGAAAAGGAGACATGTTGCCCCTCGCTGCCCAGCCCCCGGGTGGAGGCTGCCGGGGCTGCTGCGCGGCATTTCCCGGCTCTGGTCACGGGCCCTGAAACCTTGGCCTCGACCTCCCGACCCTTCCGGCCTCCCGCGGGGCCGCAGCCTAAGTGCACTGGCCTGGTTAGGTTTCGGCAGAGTCTAACTGGAGACCTTTTTCTTTCCAGTGCAGAACCCTAACCCGCCATGGAGCGTCTTTTTACCCCGCTGGAGCCCCTGCTTCCCGCTGGTACTGTATCCTTAGCGCATCGTCCACACGAGTCCCGCAGGGACCGCCCCGCAGACCCAGAGGGCCCGCAAGTCGGGTTTTTCCCCCATCTCCATGCTCTTTTCCCTGTTAGGCAAGCTGAGTATGAGGCTTTGGCCCATGGAGTCTTTGGGAGGACTGGAGCTTGTGTCCTCTATGTAAGCCCCGGAAGCATACCCCTGTAACACCTTCAACACATCTCCAACAGAGCGGGGCATTTGACACTGGGCACATAAGGGTGGTCATAGCTGCCTGTCAGTTATGCATTTCTAATCTCAAAGTACCTGAATTTAGAACAAGATTAATAAATGGTTATATAAAATGTCTAAAGTTTCACAACACTAAGGATTTTCATTATTATTAACATTGGATCTAGGGATTGAACCCAGGGCCTTGAGAACAGTAGGCAAATGCCCAGCCAGTGAGCTACATGTGCAGCTCCAAGGATTATTACCTTTTAAAATTTGGAATTTTTTTTTTTTTTTGGTCTTTTTGAGACAGGGTCTCCCTGTAGCCCCAGCTGTCCTGGAACTCATGATGTAGACCAGGCTGGCCTTGAACTCGGAGAGATCCGCCTGCCTCTGCCTCCCAAGTGCTGGGACTACAGGTATTGTACTTTACCCAGGAATATATGGAATGAGTTTTATTAGTTGCATTTATTGTGTGTGATGTTTGTAAGACTTTTGTTTAACAATTTGTGTGTGCGAATGTATGTGTGTGTGGGGGGTCCATGTGCACACATATGTATGGAGGCCAGATATCCTTGGGTGTCATTCTTAGGTGCTGTCCACTTTGATTATTTGGAGACTGGGTCTCTCACTGGCCCGGGACACGTTGATTAGGCTAGCCTGGTTGGTTGGCCCAGGTATCTACCTGTCTCCCCCTCCCCAGTGCTGGGACAAGTGCTGATTGAGTTGTCTCTCCAGCCCCTATTTTCCAATTAGTGCTTACTGTGTCTGCACTGTATAGAATTTTGGGTCATCAGTTTCATAAATACCATCATTTTTCAGTGTTTGCCTTTGCTTTTTGTAAGCATGTGAATTTAGAGATTTTGTTCAGGGCTTTGAATTTGATTTGAATTTATCAGTAATTCTACATCCTGATTGCAGTGATGGGGAAACTGTCAAAGGCTGCAGGAATAAAGGTTGGTGACACTGACTCCTAGCTTCTAGTCAGTCACTATGCTCATTTCTTTACACCTGTAGTCATGCCTCCCTTTGAAGGCTGAGATGCTTTCTAAGAAGCAAGGTTAGGTGATTTTATCAGCTGTTTGAACAAGACAGGATGTCTCTGCACAGGTTAAGAGGGCTACCGTGTCATTTGGCTGTGTAATCTTGTGGAATCACCCTTGTGTGTCTATAGTGCATTGTTGATGCCTTTATACCTTATAGGTGAAGGAAAATAGTGATAGAATGAGAATTAGAACTCAGTTTTTTGACTTGGTTATGAGGCGTGGTGCTTATTGCTGTAAACTTTTTCAGAAGTTAATAAAGCATTAACATCTTGCAAATTAAATTTAATAGATATTCATTATTCAACGATGGTAGAACCAATATCATTTCCAAAAATAAACAGATGAACTGTCGCTCTTCACATTTGTTACTAAAATGGAAGAGTGGTACCCTCTGAAGAGTGCTAATGTTTTCCAGATGGAAAGAAATTAAGAGTTGGGTGAGTGCTATAAGATTATGTTGAAGAATTAGAATCTCTGAGAGGTTTAAATCTTAGTCTTGCCACTTAATGGTTCTCTGACCTTGTATTTCAGTTTTTTTATCTGTAAAGTAGAAGTACATCACAGGGTTATTGGGAGTATACATGAGTAATACATGTAAAACACACGCTTCAGTTGCCACAAGCTATTATGTTCAGTGGTAAAGTCTGAGAAAAAATGAGGGCTGCTGGATTTCAGGGTCAGTGCTGAGATGGAAGAAGTTTTGGAATGGTATACAAGGAAGTCCAGTGTTTTTAATTTGTTTTACCAGAGGCTCAGTTCAGAAGGCCTTGGCCTTTTAGTTTTGAATGAACATTTCAAAGTTTTACACTGGAGCAAGGTCTGTGACATTGTGATACCTGTGGCAAGTACACAACCGTAGAGACAGAACCCAGTGCCCCTGGGTGGTTCTTAGAGTTTCTTCCTGTTGTTACTACAGATACAACTATGTAGAGAGTCCGGTCCCTTTTTAGCTTTGGCCTTGAAACAAGGGCCCCAGACATGTTTATATTGACTCTAGATACAAGATATTTTAAACTGAACAGTTATGAGACCAGAGTAGTTGCTGGGTCTTTATGGTAATTCAGCAAATGTTGGAGGTTATTCTTTCATTAGATTGCAAGTAAACAGATAAAGCGTATCCTGGAGCATGGGTATTTTACTGAGTTGCCTGGAAATAACTATTCTTAACTCATTTCAAACACAATGGAGATGTGTGTGTGTGTGTGTGTGTGTGTGTGTGTGTGTGTGTGTGTATAAAATAGGTTTATATATAAATATTTTGGGGCAGTGACTCAAATGCTGTATGTGCTTTTTGTTCCTTTTCTTTCCAAATAAAATAAAAGTGTTTGTGAAGTAAAAACCCCATTCTGCCTACCAGAGGTGATGTAAACATGTAGGTGTTGTCTGGATAAGTAGCTGAGTGGTAGAGCATGTGCTTTGCATGTGTGGCTCTGAGCTCCATTCCTGGCATCAAAGGGAAAAGGAAACTTTATGTGTTCTTCTAAATTGTGGGTTTGAATGTATAAGTACTTAAACTTAGAAGAATGAGACCTTTACACTTCCTTTCTCCTGCTTTTTTGCTGACTTCTTTATTGTGGACCATATATAGAGACATCTCAAGTTTCTTTTTTTTTTTTTTTTTTTTCTTTTTTTTCTTTTTCTTTTTTAGTCAGGGTTTCTCATTTCAGGCTGGCTTCCAACTTTTTCTGTAGCTGAGCAGACCTTGCATTGGACATTGGTCCTCCTAGCTATACCTACTGAGTGCTGAGATTACAGGATTACAAGTGTTTGCCACCACCATGCCCAGCTCATTGTTGTGTTATGAATCTTCAGATGTGGAGTTTGTATGTTAGGCAGGCACTCTACCAAATAAGCCCGTCCCCTAGCCCATGTTTTTTATTTTTAAATTTTCAGTATACATTCAAATTAGTGTTTGTTAAAGGACATGATTTTTCTAGTTTTTACTGTTACTTGCTGCAATGCGTATCTTTGATCATAATACTTTTGCACATTTATTGGCGTGTGTCAGTAGGCTGAGTTCCTAGAAATGAAACTTGGTGGTAGGCTGTGTGTGCATTTCCATGATCAGGAGGAACCATCCACCAGCTAGTGCCCCTCCTTTGGTACTGGGTACTATGGGCTACACAAGTGTGAAAGATGTGATGCCTTCTGTCCAGGAGTGCACTGTATAGTGGAGTTGCCTGTGATCATCAGTAACATGCTGTATGGGTTTGTTGCATAGGAACAAGAGTTTGTGACATCTACATTGTGTAACTTTGCTCTGATGTGCGAATGATGAAATTGAGTCAGGGCACATTTCCAGATCTTACCTTGGCCTTGTGGGCCCTCAGGATCTGACTCCTAACTGCCTGTCCAAGTTCTGGTTTTCACTTTCTGTGTCCCAGGCTAAGGTGAACTACCCAGTGGTTAGTTGGGTAAACATTTGTTCCAATTTCAGTATGTGTTCCTTAGCTCTTGCTAAACTGATTACCTAGAATGCTCCTTGCTAGGTTTTAGAATTGTTATTCTTGGAAATTTTAGCTATTCTGATAGATATACAGAGCTAGTATGTGATTTAGTTTGCATCTCCTATATGACTTGGTTTCAACCTTATTTATTTATTTATTTATTTATTTATTTATTTATTTATTTATTTATTTATTTATTGTATTAATTCAGCATGGATAGGAGAGGTGGATAAGAAGCCCCAGTAGTAACCAAGGATCTGTTGACAATCTACTAGGAGGGGGAGAATCAATCTTCTTTAGGGGTGTCAAGCCTGGTGGGTTGACCAGACTTCAAGGTATGACAGGTTTTTGTTTTTTTAAAGTCCTCCTGTAACTTTATTGAAAAGACAAACAACAGTAAATATTCATGCATCAAATTTATATTGGCGGCACCTCTGATTTTTCTGTCCAAGGAAAGAGTTGTCAAAGCACAGAGGTGCACAAGTCCTGTGTGTTCTTGGCTGACAGTGTTGCCTTGCCCTTAGCTACACCTGCACACAGAGTGATAAGTGATCAGCTAGATTAAGGCAGCCAAGGAAAGCAGGGAGGGACTGAGCGCTCCTCAGTTCTTGGCAGCATAAAAACATTATTACCGCATATACTTTTCACAGTTTTGGATGAAGGAGTTCACAGTTTCATGGACATAATGGCCATCATTCCCCCTTTTTCCTCTTTTTTTTTTTTTTAAATATTTTTAAAAAATTGAGAGTTTCATACATGTGTATAAGGTTATAAGGTGTTTTGATCAAATCCATGCCCACTCCCTCCCCTCCAACTCCTCCCATATCTCCCATCACTTTTTTTCTGGTAACTCATGTACTCTTTCTTCTTCTTTGATTTGTTTATTTATTTTTATGGACTTTTGCCTGCTCTAACATTCCCCCCTCTGAAGAGGTAACCCTAAAATCTTTTAAGGATTAGATAAAAGGTCCCAAATACTTTTGACTTTTAGCCAAGAAACTGGCTACTTTTCTTTGGGGTCTTTTTACCCTAACTGCCTAGCCAATTCCTACCTCCTATTCTTATCACACCATCCTCTGAAGAGGTTACCCAAATTGCCAATAGAGAATCAGGACGCAGACTGCTCTGGCTTCTTCCAGGCTGAACAGGGACACAGGGTGAGGCAATTGGGGTACCCCTTCAGTGGGTCTATCTAAAAGACTCCCAAATTGCATAACTCTTGTCTCTAATGGGAGAAGAAAGTCCTTGAATCATGAATGGGAGGTGTGAAGGAGAAGTAAAGGCAAGAGTAATTAGCATTA